GGGACTGAAAAATGGTCCAACCTCTCTGTAAAGCAATATGGTGCTTCCTCAGACGGTTAGAAATAGAAATACCTTATGATCCAGCAATTCCTCTACTTGGTATTTACCCACAAGAAATACAAGCCATAACACGAGTAGATAATATGCACATCAATGTTCATAGCAGCACTATTTACAATAGCAAAAAGATGGAGACAGCCTAAGTGCCCAACAACTGAAGAATGGATAAACAAACTGTGGTACATACACACAATGGAATATTATGCTACCTTGAAGAATAACAAGGAGGCAGCAAGCCACCACATAACATGGAGGAACTTTGAGGACATTATGTTGAGTGAAATTAGTCAGTCACAAAAGGAGAAATACTGCATAGGACCACTACTGTAAAAGACTAAGAAAAACAACCCATACTAAAGGGGGAGGGGATTCTTTGCTGGCTACTGGGATGTAGGGGGTGGGGTAAGGGGAGGGAGGGGAAGGTGAAACACAGGGTAGGGAATAGACAGGAGAGTTTGGGTGCTAGGGAGGGGGGCAATATACAAGAAGGGGGAGGGGGTTGGAAAAACAAAGCATATGGGAGAACAATTAGGCAGTTTTCCATGGGTTAAGTAGGACAGAGATAAATAATGATGTGTGCACAACCTTGGAAAACAGGGCTCTGGGATACAGGGATTGAGACATGGTTTAATTGAGGAAAAGGGGGAAAATAATGTTAAGATGCTTGGCTGTCTTATGAGTCTTGGTTTCCCTGGCATATCATTATATAATAGACACTTGAGCAGGAGAGAAAGGAATAGCCAGAAATATCACCATAGAAAGCTTGTAAGTCCGTCTTCTGCCTATAACTGATTTGGAATACCTAAAATGGGGCTACAACATGCCCAGTGAAGGAGGCTTCCTGTGGAGCCTCTGCATTACATAAGTCCATAGGTGGAATCCTGAACAGCATCCAGAATCTTCTGAGCTGTGAAATTTCCACTTGAAAGGATAAGCAGACCACCCAGGAGTGGCTAGAAGAACAGAAGATACTTCTTGAAAGAAAGACCGACAGGAAAAATACAAACAATATAGGAAGATTGACTGATTACTACACGAACAAACAAGTTGCTCACCCAAGAGACATCAAGGCAAGTGGTTGGATCCCCTCAGAGCAAACCCCCTCCCAAGACTAAGACTCAATGGGAATACACGCTGTGATTGGTGACCACATTTGTCACTGATAAGGGGAAGTGAGGGAAAAACAGCAATGAAGCTGTGAGCTAAATCCTACAACATTCAGTAGACTCCTGTGAACCCTGGTGGAGACCTGCTTGGCCAGCAGTGTGGCAAGACCTAGGGACTCTTGGGCCCAGAGTCAGTGACATGGCCACAGAAGACTAGAGTGGAGAGTGAAGTGTCCAGCTGATAAGAGAGGGCATATGCACAAGAACACCCACACTTGCAGCTAATACCCACTTGACCTGGCTTCAAGGACTGGATGATCAGAGCTCAACTAGAAGAAGAAAGAAGAGGGAAAAAAAAGAGTAATCTGATGACCTTGACCTACACCTATGGATACAGTAGCTCAAAAGAGGGAACAAATCTTGACACCGAGGATCGTTCCCACTCCCTCCATACACAGAGTGGACTGGGATGGGCAACTTGGACATTGGTTACCCAAAATATAGGGGGTGCTACCAAGGCAAGACGTGACTGGCTTGCAGGCTTTCTAGAGGGAGCCTAGATCCAGAGGGTGTGGAGGAGGGTAGAATCTCCATTGAGTAGTATCCAGTCTGTCTAGGCAGGGCTGATGAAATGAAATGCAGATAGGTTCCTTGTGATACAATAGTGAATAATTGTTATCAGGACTGATTGTGAGTGTTGGAAATGTAAAGGTAGATGTTTTATAGCAAGGAGGGGAGTGATTAACTTTGCGGTCTAGGAGCGGAGGTCCCTAGGACCATCAAGGGAGAAGAGCAGAGAGCGGGACCAGAGAAACAGTAATGCCAGAGATGGAGGCAGAGACGCTAACAAGGAGAGATTGAGTGGCTGGGGACTTTAGACCCAGAAAGGGAGAGGGGCTGTGTGCTGATGACCAGGGAGCATGCTTGCAGGGTATACCCTTTGGTTGGTTGATGATGCATGGAGGGGATTGTAACCATGGCAATGAAACGATATACAATAGAATGAGTGTAAAACTAATTCTCTCCCATGTAAACTATCACATAATTCACAATAAAACATTTAAAAATAATGAAGTAGAAATACATGGTATGAACTATATTATTCAGCAAGAAAAATGAGGTACTGATATATGGTATCAATGTACCTTGAAAATCTTGTGCTGTGAAATAAACCAGACCAAAAAAAAAAAAAAAAACACACAAATTATTCCATTTTAGGCAAATCTATAGGAGTCCTGATGGGTTCAGCATCAGACTGCTTAACCATGAGTCTAGAAATTCAAGCCTATGAGATGCTCCTTAGAAACCCTATAGAGGGTTGTTATGAGTCAGAACCAACTTGATGGCACTTAACAATAATAACAACATAGTATCAGAAAATAGGTTAGTGGGTCCCCAGGGCTTGAAAGGAGCCTTGGTTGTTCTGTGGGATAGGCACTGGACTGCTAAACCTCAAGGCCAGCAGCTGAAACCCACCTACTGCTCTATGGGAGAAAGATGAGGCAGGCTCCTGACATAAAGATTTACAGTCTTAAAACAACTAACAAGGAACAGATATACTATTTCAGAAACTCAAGGCCAGTGGGTTTGGGTTATTTCGTTTTTAGGGCGTCAAGTGAGGGGTAGATGGAGAAGAACTAACTACTGTAGGCCCAGGGCTTTGTTTTTGTTTTGAGGGAGGAAAATGGTCCAGAATTGGAACATTGATTGTGATGATGGGTGCATAGCTGTGGTAACACACTAAAAGTTACTGTGCCACGTTGGAGGATAAGCACTGGACTGCTAACCAGCCGCTCCTCGGAATGCCTATACAGGGTCACTATGAGTCAAACCAACTCAATGGCACTTGACAACAACTGAATTGTACAATTTAGGAAAATTGTATGGCATGTGAATGACATCTCAACAAAGATTTATGGAAAAGAAAGAAAGAAAGAGGAGCAAAAAATATTTTAAAGACAACGAGAACTAATAAACATACTTAAAATTGTCAGCCTTTGGGCTGACCACGGGAATTAGATCTTCCTTTTCCATCTCCCACCATAGTGCCTTTCTGCTCTGCATGCTGTAGAGACCCGCGGCTCACTGAATTCGTGCGTTCTTCCATTTTTCCTTTCTTCTTCCTTTTCCCCTTCTCCTGTCTTCCTTCCTTCCTTTTCCACTTCCATCCTTATTTTCTTTTTTGTGCTTTCTTTTTCTTCTATTCTCTGCTTTCCTTCCTTCTCTGTAAGGAAAAAAGTATTCGTTGATCAAGTATCCTATCTAAGGTGAACCAATGGCTCTGTGAACCAAACCTTTCATAAGTTAATGTGCATTGTGAATCTGTAGCAGAAAAACATGGCCTCCAACATCCACCAGTTGTGTGTATTTCATATTAACTCCTATTTGTGAAATATTGCTGCAACCCAATGTTTCCAGGACTCTTCCTCAGGTTTCAATGCACAGTTGTTGCTCATTTCAGTACACCCAACACAGTTGACTTGATGTTTGCTCAGGATGTGATTTCCTATCTGATAATCCTTTTGCATTTTCTCCATTTAAACTTTCAGCTATCTTTACGGCGTCAGCAAGTAAGTGAGAGATTGAATGAGTGGGCAGTCTTCAGTGAAAAGAACAAGGAGCTCTGTGAATGGCTGACTCAGATGGAAAGCAAAGTTTCTCAGAATGGAGACATCCTCATTGAAGACATGATAGAGAAGCTCAAGAAGGTATGTATTCCTGACTACACATGTTTCCATCTTCATGTTGCATACTCGAATTTCTAATAGAGTTCTTCTACTCTATTTTAAAATGTTTTGTGGTTTGATATAAAATAAACATACATGGAAAGACCTGTCTTGTATACAAACTATATGAAACATTGTCAGTTTTTGGTGAAATAAATTATCTGCTAATAGCTGATGTTCAGTACTTGTAGGCACTAGCTCCCTACTTGTTTGTTGTTGTTGTTGTT